GCAAATAATCAGTGCAAAACTTCTACCTAGCTCAACTAGCTAAGAAGGAACGTCACAAAATGTTTACGAAGGGATCACTTCGAGTGCGTGGAAGGATCGGATCTGCATGGATCTTCTTCGGCCCTAAAACGAAGGTGCTGCACCTGGCACCAGGCGTGAAGTGACCGTGCAAAAACATGCGCACTATGGATTGAGTTCGCCGACATCCAACACGGTGGAAGGGAAATGCCACACTCCTAATCCTAGTCAGCGCAGGTCGACTTCACACCAGTGTTGTATGTGGTCCGGGCTTTGAGTGCCCTTCTGCTTTGCAAGCGGGTCGAATCGTATTTCAGGAGTTGTCCGCAGCGTTTGGTTCATACCGGCATGTAGCGGTGTAGCATGTGGCTCAGTCTGCCCACAGCACAAGTCTCTGCAATGCGAGGGACTTGGTGTTCTTGTTCTGGCAGGATCTTGGACAGGCGTTGATAGTTTGATTCGCTCTTTGAGGTCGGCAAGCTCTGGAGTGGCCAGAGGTTTGTGGATTTGATCAGTGCGGAATGCTGCCACAGATATTTTCTCGCAGGGATTGATGCTGCTCGCTTGGGACAACCCAGCTCGCAGTTCCGAGCTAGGCGTTGTCCGGTGCCGAGCAAACGCCGTTGGATGCTGATGATATGCATTGGAGTCTCACGACATTCGTAGGTTTCACTGCAGGTTCCAGTGGCGAAAGACCGGATCACAGCTTGGTGCTAAGCTTGCTCATTTCCTGCAACCAATCTTGCTTGCTTTCCAGAGCATGTTGCACGGGCAATCCGCACGAACACCCCCCTTTACATCATCGTCCTTTAAGTAATTACACAGGTTGTCAGACCTCAACTTTCTTGCTGTTGATCCGAACATGTGCAGATCGTTGGAGCTCATGCTTAAGGTCGCGGTGAAGGCGATGAACAAGTACCCGCCGATCTGTTACGTCTCGAGGAGTGTCGTGGTTATCTGAACCAGGCTCTGATCAGGATGGCAGTGCGCAGCAACGGACACTTGACACACCCTGAAGTCGCCGCCCAATAAGGAGGCTGCAGGAACATGAGGAACACTCCATGCCGTCTTGTCTTAGAATCAGGTTCTTCTACCTCAGTCGAGTTCAAAGCCAGCAGATGTGAGGTAGCTTTGTTGGCTACAGAGCTACATCCAATGCCTTCTTATTCCGAGACTCCAGGTCGGACTTGAAATCGAGCGGCCGGAAAAAAACCCCAAAAAGCTCTCAGCTTAGCAGCTGCTCTGGTTGTTCAGGCTGCATCACCAGCTGCCTCTCTTCTCTCGCATGCCGGCTTCTCTTTGCTCTATGTGCTACTCTCCCAGTCTCTCTTTGTCTGGGTGTCTTTTTGTGAGCTCTTGCAGCATCCAGTTCGCCAGGCATCTGCGCGTCTCAGCGTCCCACCACAGGGAAGGTTTCATGATTTCATATTCATTTTAGTTTAGTAACGATGATTCTCAGTATGACCAGTGTTACTATTGTCATATGATGTGCAGGACCGGTAACGCTTTGGGTTCCCGGTTTCCGCACTACCCTCGTTGTGACTTTTGATGTCTCCATGTGTCCTCCTCTCCCGTCGCGTTCTCTGTCTAAGTCTGTGTCTATGTCCGTGTCTATGTCTCTCTCTCTCTCTCTCTCTCTCTCTTTGTCCACCTCCGTGTTTTTGTGTGTTTACGCATCCTAGCGGTCTCTTTGGTGTTTTCCTGGCCCCATGCTTACTCCGGGCCACCTTGCCACAGTAAGCCTATAAGAAGAGCCATCATAGGAACAACCTTAAAAGGACCCTTCAAAAGCCCTTAGCAGAACCCCAGACCCTGAACCCTCGCCCTAAACCCCTATCAGAACCCTACAAAGAACATCAGACTTCACCCTCGAGAGGACTTCAGTGATTCCGAGCTTCTGCGCGGCTTATGGGCCAGGCGATGTCCGATAGTCTGGTCTAGTCTGGTCTGGTATATTTAGGGCTTAGGCTTTAGGGTTTAGGGTGGTCTAGCATAGATAGTGAAGTATAGTCTTGCCAAGCCTAGCCTAGTACAGTATGGTATAGTAGAGGAATGTGTGGGGGCAGTTGGGGAAGTGTACAGCTAAAGGGTCTTCCACAAGGAAGATTCTGTTGGATTTCATGGTCGTAACCTTTCTCAACATCCCTTTGACCAGACCTGGGAGACTCCCTATCCTGAAGGATGTAAGAATGGGAAGAGTTTTTCATAATTGCAAGACGCGTATCTGGACACTCGTCCAACGGTGCCGTGCAACTCAGCAGGTTCCCAAGCTGCATTGCCTTGTCTCACATGGGTTTAGGGTACCCTAAACCCTAAACCCTAAACCCTAACCCTAAACCCTAAACCCTAAACAGAAAGGCGAAAGCAAAAGGAGAGATCTTGGCTGCACAGCCTCGCAGCGGAGATGCTTCGGCCGCGCTCTCGCATCCTACCAAAAAGCCTCCAGCTGCTGCCCCTGCTCCTGCTGCTAAAAGTAGCGGTACGGACTAATGGTTGTAGTTCCAGTACCAGTAGAAGTACTAATACTGGTAGTAATCGGTACTAGTAGTAGCACTGCTTCAGCCACCAATGAGTACCACTGCTGCTGCCATGCAATAATTTCGGTTACGATAGTACCTGCTCTAAACCCCTAGACCTGAGATCCAAGACTTCAAACTCTAACCACAAAGCCCCATACGCCAGGTACGAAAGGGGGCAGATCTACACCTGGTTGGGCGATGTCCTGGTGTCCGTGAATCCCTACTCTGACGTGGGTGCCTTCGGCGAGGTAGGCCCTGTTCCATGATGCTTCATATCATTGTTTAACAGTGTTGTTACTACCAACATGATTTTTGTTCTTGTTATCTACAGAGTCTTTTTTATTGTTACTACCAGCATAGTTTTCAGTTGTTGTTGCCTATATGGTTGTTGTGATTGCTGTGTTCGTCTTGATTGTCCATGGTATTGGTTGCAGCGTTTGCTACCATTACATATTATGTTGTTGTTATTGCTTACATCATTATGACTATGTTTGTTGCTAGTGGCAGCCTTTCTATTACAACAAGTTTAGTAGTCTTAGTCATAAGGTTGTTTAGTACCATTGCAACTCTTGTTCTCACCAAGATTAGTACTGCTGTTACTTTGGTCTTTAGGCTTGGCTTTCTTCTCATTATCATTAATGTGTTTAGTATGATTGCTAGTATTTTTTTGATATTTTTCTTATCTCTGTTATCGTGGCTGCTATTGTTACTGTAGTGATGATGAGTACTGTTACGACGATTTGGTAGTCTTGTTACTGATAGTCTTAGTCTTACTGGTATTACTATTCGTATTCGTCTTATGGTTGTTATTATAGGCAACAGTCCCACTATGATCATGCTTGTTATTGTTGTTATCATGACTGTTGCTACCAGTATTGTTTATGTAGTATCTAAGCATTTCTGATACGATGATTGCAATGACGATATTCCTAGTTGTCATTGTGGTGAAGATGACAATGGCAGCTACAGCCAGCTAGCAGCCAGCCAATGCCGCATACGTGTGCTTATGTCGATCGTCGAAACTCTGTACTCAGTGCATTGGAGGACTTTCTTGTTTGCCTGTGTTTTGATATGGCGGAACGAAATCAGACACCCTCGTCAATCATGATATGCTGAAGCCTCCTTGCAAGCAGAACCCGTAAACTCCTAACCCTTGAACCCGTCCACCCAAAACCCCTAAATCCCTAAATCCCAAACGAAAAGGCCCTAAACGCCAAATCCACAAACCCTCAACTCCAAACCGCAAAGCCTGAAGACCTTCCTCGTGGCAGCCCCCTGAGCTTCTCTTGACAAGCTTTCACCATAGGAGATGGCGGCGCGGTACTCTTCAAGAAGACCGCCACAGGAGACGGAGCATGGCACAGCTGCAGATATTGCGTGTGTCTGTGTGTTTTTGGCTCCCACAACCGAAACATCGGGGATCAGAGATCAGAAGACATTGCCACACCGCAGGCTCCACACCTGTATGCTGTGGTCCAGCAAGCATTGTCTGCCACGGGAAGGAGGTCAGCCTGATTTCTTATCGATTTGGTTTGATCTCTAGAATCAGATCCCTGAGCCCCAGCAGTGGCATTGGGGAAATGTTTTCGGATGGCTTGTGTTGCGCTTTGCAGTGCATGTGCGCACATCACGGATGAGCATCAGCACATGATTCTCCTAGACTCATGCTTCTCCGGGCCATGCATGTCCCAAGCTTCGGGACAGTTTTCCTTGGACCCTGAATGCTAAACATCCCTAGACCCTAAAGCCTACAATCCTAAACCCACCTGAAACCCTGAACCCTGAACCGGTCTCCTGCGCCTCACCAGGCAAGCCTTGCTCATAACGGGCGAGAGCGGAGCCGGGAAGACGGAGGCACCCATGGCTTCCTTGAGCTTACAAGCTTTAGGGTTTCAGGTTTAGGCTTTAAGGAGGGAAGGATGTTTGGGGTTTAGGAAGGTTAAGGGTTTAGGGTTGAAGGATGTTTAGGGTTTAGGAACATTTAGGGTTTAGTGTTTGGGGATGATGTGTAGGGTCTGGGGTCCTAGGGTTGGAGTTGGAGTTCTGGAGCAAGCTGCTGTGCTTTGGAGTCTGAGACTTGTGTCGCCAATCCGTGGGCTTAAAGTTTCATTGCAGAGTATGGCCTGCTCTGTTGTCAGCTTGATTCTGCTCAATTTAGGCCACTTGACCCTCCCTGCTCCAGAAATCTCAGAGTCGCGCTAGAGGAACTATGTGAACTGTGAGCAGGCAGATGCCCTTGAAAGTCCTGCTGTGGTACAGCCTGTTTCCATGTCCTTCGCCATGGCTCAGCTGAGCATGTGTTCAGTGTGGCTTCGCATAGGAGACAAGATGATCTAGCTGTCATGCCTTCACACCCATCCCGCAGCTTAGGCCAACTTCTCTCGCACTCAACCTCACAATCTCATGCAATGAGTTCTCGACGGCTATGGCACTGGGCAGCCAGACGGCTGAATCGAGCCGATCATGTTGTCGAGGACGCCTAGCAGCTTTTTGGTTGTTTCCGGGGCTTTACTTCTGCATGTCCATGTCAACATGAGCTTGTACCTGTACGGCTGACTGAGTGCAGGAACTCCGCCAGTTCACGTGTGTGCCTGCAGGTCGATCTGAGACATTGGCTCGTGCGATGTTTCATTGCGGGCCTAGTTCATTGTTCATATTCTAATATTAATATACCATAACATACTGCAATATCCTATCTCATACTGAAATTACACTATAGTATATTGCAGTGAGCTGGCGCCGGGAGGCCAGCGACAAGATAATACACCGGTCACGCACTCGTAGGCTGACCACCAGGTTCCGAGTCCCTGCCAAAAACCTATAATAGACAAGAGTGAAAACTTTGGCTTTGGTCAAAGTGCACCCCAAACCCCTAAACCCGCTTCCCATCAGAGTTGATGCTCGAGAGGAACATCTGCAGACGGCCGCCTTCGTTGATGCGGTGAGCCTCCACCTTAAACACAAAAAAGGAACTATTATGGAGCCTATGGGTAGACTCCACCTTGGTGCAGGGTTGAGTTAAGATTTAGGGTTGCGGATCTGGGGTTTGGGGTTGAGCATGCCAGCAACGCAGCACTAATATATATATATATATCTATCTATCTATCTTGACATATTGCAATATACTATGGTATACGATAATATACTATAATAGACCATGATGTCCGATAATACCTTGCAATAAACTATGATATACTATAATACAATATGCGGCGCCGAGGTCATTCCTCTCGCATCTTGCAGGCCATGTCCCCCATGATCGTGCCTTGACCGGACCTATCCTGGAGCTGCTATAGTAGAAGTATATTGCTGTATATTGTAGCACCATATTGGTATGCGGTATAATATTGCAGTATGTTATGGTATATGATCGTATAATATGTCAAGTTCGAGTACAGTATTGATCCTCTTGCGGGCGAAGCCCCGAGATGCGTCTCCTCAGGTTGGATTCGTGCGCCTACGCGATTGGTTGTATGGCGGGGAGTTCAATGGAGAAGGCCTAGATGTGGTCCAGAATTGGAACACATCGGAGGAGCGACGGTGCTGTCATCGTGAACAGAACATGCCGCCCCCAACCCAAGACAGATTTGAGCCCTGATGTCCTGGAACATTACACCCCAAACCCCATTTCAGGAGTTCTTGCAGGGAGCTGAGCAGGCCGGGATGTCGGGGTGGCTGCCCTTAGAGGCGTTTCTTGCCGCTTACTCAGCTTCTGAACGTCTTGAGGTTCACAAAAGGTATCGATCTTTCAAGCCTAAGCCCTAAATCCTAAATTTGGGGAGTGTCTTTGGCGCTGCTTTTGAGGGGGCCTCTTTGTTATCTTTTCTGCGGGTTTGGGGGTTTAGGCATCTTTTTAGCGATCTGGCTGCCAGCTGGCTGTGGGACGGTCTGTTATAAGTCTGGAGGGGCTGTACAGGACTATATTGGCTCATTGTTGAGGCTGACGCTTTCATGATCTAGGTTTGCGGAAAATCGTTCGCGGGGGATTAGCTGAATACTTTGGCTCAAGGCCCTGAGGTACTCTGTGGGCTGCGTCCTGGTGGTAGTGCCTGCTCTTCAGGGTGATTCTTTGTTTGCGGTTGCGGCTCGTCCTCGCTTCCTTCCGCCTGATCAGCCGGCTCGTCAATTCGGTGTTCGGTTCTGGGGGCCTGGATGTCTTCCATTACCCGATTCTCCGGAAGTTCTGGATACCAGACCGATGCACCAGGAAGCAAAGTTTGAGGACGTGGAGAAGCACGGCAGGCGAGCCACTCTTGTCTTTGGAGGCTGGCAGAACCAGACTCGTAAAGGCATCCTTTTGCACCAGTGTGTGAGGCCATTAGGGGCTGGGGCTACAGCAGGAGCTGGATCAAAGGCCCTTCTGCACAGACCTTACACGTTGTGTGGCTTTCTGTAGTTTTCGCAAACGCCCTGATGAGGGCGATGAAGGTTGCAGATCGCGAATGTTACGTGTGCTTCAGATGGTGAATGCAGGCAGCGAAGGTGGAGATTGATGGGGCCCACCAAGCTTTGCAGTGCTCGTTCTCGCGGTCACCTCAGGAACGTCGTCGCGCGGCGCTGGTCGCCCTCGTGGAGAAGTGCGTCATGAAGCTCCGGCCTACTAGATGTTCGTAGATCCACGGCGGTTGACACCAAGGCGGGCAAAGGATGGTTGGATAAAGGAACTCCTGCACGGTGGTGTGAGGTTGACTTGCCGGCGATCAAGGAGATTGTGGCCGAGCACCGATTCCGACCGCACTTGACCTTTCCTCCAGGTTACTTCGATGAACTATTGGGGATGCTGCAAATGGCGTGAGTAGCCAACCTTCTGCCACCTCGGTCAGATGGGCAGCGGGCTGTAAAGGGATCTCATCCCACCTGCTGTCGAAGGCAGTCAGTGACGGAACGGGCAGTGGCCTGTCGCAAAATGACCTTGTGCTTCTTCAAGAGTTGCTTCGAGAGGGCGAGGGATGGTCGTACCAGCACATGCAAGGGAGAAGAGTGTCCACTGACTTTGAAAGGGAAGTGGCTTAAACTTCGACACGTTTCCAACGGCGTGGAGCAGTGGATCGGGACCGAACATTTCTCCCCAGGATGTACCGTGCAGAAGTATGAAGGGGAGGCCAATGCTCACTTTCGCGGGCTCCGGCGGAATGTGTGCACTCAGGGCAGCTTTCCACAGAGTAGCAGCCCCTCGACGATTGGCTTCCCGGAAAGCAGTCTTGACCTCAGGTGTGTCTTTGTAACCGCCGACCCCCATGTGGTGGTGCATGTTCACTTCACAGGGACAGGGGTCTATTCCGTGTCAGAGTTGCCAGCGGAACAAGCTTGGCGAGGTGACGTGAAAGCCTTCTCGGTTTGGGGTCGATGGAGTCGAAGGTGTTGTTCCTGCTGACGAGCATTGGCTGGCGAGTTGGGCCAATGAGCTCGAGTTCTTCTTGCCGGGCATCTTGTTTCCTCTGGACATCTCCCCATTGACAACAGTCCTGAAGTGGTGCTGGTACCCAACGCCAAAAAGGAGCCAGACCGAAGCTCAGGGCTTTGTTCAGCAGGAGGAGTCCTTGCCTTGCTGCAGACCCAGGCTGGGAACGTGCGATGCTGCAAAGAGAGCTAGGCCGTCTTAACCAATGGAAACGACCTCGCACCTAATGCCAGATCGAAGTGGAGGCAAGTTCCGGGAGTACGGATGCGCCGAGGGTGACACAGACGTGCAGATGACGGTGCCCACCAATGGTGATATGGTTCGGCTCTGTGTGACAGCGAGCATGGCCCTGAACGGGAAAATGTCCTTACCGAACCTGCTCGCAGTCACTGCGATCGACCTACGGACACTCAACAGGCTGTGTGTGATACGACTGCCAATGTTATGGCCCTTATGGAGGTCAGCCCGTTTGAACAGATCTACGATGACTGGAAAGCTGGCCGGACTATAGTGACTACCATTGAAGCTAAAACGGAACAGTATAGCCCAGAGGTGGCTGAGCTCATGGTGGCGGATGACCTGGTTGCGGCTGCAAGCGACGACGCACTCGATGGAGTCCAAAGGGGTTGAGCTTTGCATTGGGCAATTCGGTGGACCATGAACCAAAAGCGATGGCAGATGGAACCGGCTTGACCAATGCAACTACGTTGCCCATGTTGGCTGGTACGTTCAGCACGACTCTGATGTCGAAGTTCGTGCTGATGATGAGGATGCTCTTGCAGCTTAATATGCAAGGCCAAATGCGATGTAATTGATGCAGGGTGTGACGTCGATGGCGAAGACCGAAGCATTAGGGGTCGTGGTACATGCCTGCCACAACTGTGGATTCTGCTGACCTTATAATTGCTAGGCGGAAAAGGTGTTCAAAAAATCACTAAACCCTAAGCCCTTTGTTGCCTTGCACGTCGTTTCGCAGGTCTACCGGCATGCTCTCGGTGTGGCCTTGGCACCTCCGAGTTCAGAAGAATCCGATATTGTTCTTGTGCACCGCGCACGGGAATGGCTCGAGGAGCCTTTGTTATGAAAACAGTATCAACTGGTATATCTTCTATCTTAGTATCTAATAAAGTGTTCTAGTATTGTATAATTTGTTTTAGTATACTACGGTATGGTATAGTATGTTGTACATGGCAACAGGCGTTGATCAGGTTCTAGTCTTATGTCAAGCAATCTAAGTTATTAGCTAGATTAGAGAGATGCTATAGTACAGCATTGTTTCAGTCTGCCAAGAGTGTGTTCATGGAAAGAAGCATGCAGTACTGTGCAGCAGTACGGCAATCCAGCAGCTGTTTTGTCATGATATCGCACTCCAGAGGGTATAAACTCATTTGCGTGGGAGCATGAGATGCCAGATCTCGATGTAAAGGCCATGCAGTGAGAAGGCCAGCGCCAGAGTAAGCGGAGAGACTTTTGCGACCGTCCTGCACGAAAGGTTTTGTTCTTGATCTCCATCGCACAACAAACTGACACCAGGACCAGCGAAAACTGCGCTGCCGTGATTTTGCTGATGCCGAGTCCTTCGAGCTCACTGATGTGTGCGTCCCTTACCTTTCATGAGCATTGAAACTTCGGCCGAAACAGAAATTAGGTGGTGACAGCGAGTGCTAAAGAACAGGTCGCCAGGAATAAGGATGTTCGCAGGAGACGAACAAAAAACCCTAAACCCTAAGCCCTAACTGTGGCAGCCGCGAATTTGCTGGAACTTGCAGCTTCACTGTTCGCTCACCCGCAGCCATTGAGACAAGAAGTCTCGCAATGCGAGGTCGTGCCCCCCTGCAATTCAGGGAGCTTCCATTTAGGGATGGCTCGGCCGCCTCTTGATGGGCATTCTCATGTGAAGCTGGTCCGCATGTGCGTGGGTTTTAGATTCAGGTTTCGGATGCAAGAAGTTCGTCGATCTGGTCAAGGTTTCCCAAATCTCACACAACGCCAATAGTAGTACGAGCAATACTGAAGGCAATATAGTAACAGCAATCGAAACAGTAATAATCGCACATGATACTAACAACTTAGCAACACTAGCACAAATCTATCATCTTAACGACTCAGTATAACAACTAGCAAACTATCGCTTCTTGCTCTCGCCTTTCTCAGGATTTTTGTGCAGTCATCTGACCAATCCGGCTCCATCCTGGCAGTGCACTATGTCTGCAAGAAGCCTGGCTCGGGTACGTAGCACAGGTGACGGACAAAAAGCACAAGGGTTTAGGGGTTTAGCGTTCGCCTCCTGACCCCGTTCTGTGCGAAAGTCGCCAGCACCAGCAGTTTGAACTGTAAAAGCTACTGTAGGCCTTAAATCTTAAATCGTCAACCGTAAACCAAGGAGCTTGTTAGGAAAGTATGCCCATGCACGTCTGGCAGGCAAGTTGATACAGCAACAACCTTCAGGCCAGACCGTGACCGGAGGTGACTGTACGTCCTGGTAGCTTCATGAGCCTGGTTTCGCACAGTCTGGGCTTGTGCTTTAAATTCATGTTTCCATCCATGTCCTGGTTTCAAACACTGTGAAATGGAGATCCGGTGCCGCCAGGGACTCTTCCCGATGGTGGCGGCCTCGATCAGAGAAGCACGTGGAGCTAATCCACAGGAGTCAGGCTGGTCCCGACGGTGAGATCTCGATACCGGAGATTCGCTGGGCATGCAAGTGCCTCCTGGAAAGGCAATGGAGACGAGTCCTTCATGCCAGCCGGCGGACCCTGGTGACGTGATTTCAACTAGCTGCTTCCGGGTGCCTGCATTGCCCGGCGGTTGATCGAAAGCATCTCAGGTCCCGCAAGTTCGAGCGTGATGGGAGTCTCCGATGACAAAGCCTGCGCCGAAAGAGCAGCTTGCAAGGCAGGTTTGCAAGTACTCTCTGAGTCTGAAAGCATTGCAAAACCGCAATACTTGGTTGCACCCTCAAACCCTAAACCCGAAACCTAAACCCAAAACGCATCCGTCAGGCAGCGGACACTTCTAGTTCCGACGACTTGGAGCAGAACCAGAATGCCTGGTATATTAAGCAGCAGAGCACCCCGACCGAAAACGAAGGGTTAAGCTCGACGGTTAGGCTTTAGGGTTCAGGGTTTACCCTAAACCTAAAACCCCAAAAGCCTTAAACCCGAAGCCAAAATTTGTAAACCCCTGATCCTTAAAGCTGCCTAGAGGGTGTTGGGAGGGATCCCTCATTTCCTGCTGGACCGTGCGAGTAGACGTCTTCTTGGTTGCGGCTTTTCTTTTACTCATTCACTATCGGTTGTACATAACATACATATGGAAATATACACACATAAACACATATGTATATGTTGTTACATACACATATACACATAAAATGTGTGCATGCATGTATATATGTATGTATGTATGTATGTATGTATGTATGTGTGTATGTACATAGGTAGGTAGGTAGGTAGGTGGGTGGGTGGGTGGGTGGGTGGGTGGGTGGGTGGGTGGGTAGGTAGGTGGTAGGCATGTATGTATGTATGTATGTATGTATGTATGTATATATATATATATCTTTGTTTCTTGTATATATCTGCATCTACATCTCTATATGTGTGTATATATATATATATCTATATACACACACACACACACACAGTGCATCCTCGTGCTGCATACTCGAAGTCAAAATGGGGCTTAGAAGACGAGTGGGAATTTGCACAAACTAGCATTTGATCAAGTTGGCCCCCATGCAGGTGCATATATATATATATGTATATATATATGTATATATATATATATATGTATGTTTGGTTTTGCAGGTATACGATTACTAGTTTTTTTGGTTTTGATCTGAGGATTTAGAAGTGATTGAGATGGTTTCGAACTTGCTCAACTGCAGATTCCTCTAGCAGTATGAAGCATCGCGCTGAAGATGCCAGCACTCAAGATGCCAGCAGGCGAAGGTCACTCATCCACATCTGCTACCCGGACGCCTCCGTTGACCGCCGATACGCAGGCATCTTCTTACTACACGGTTGCTATTTGCTATAAGGCTACTATACTGGAAGGTTGCTTTCTATCAGCTTGAATGCCCGTGTGTTACCACCTATCATCTTGGAATGGAAAGCACTCGAGAATCTTGCCGGACTCTTTCTTGGCATTCCAGGATTTGAAGGTTTGTTGAAAAACCTGGAGTGCAAGGGTGCCACGAGCCTCAACGAAGATCGTGGCAAAAGTCTCCGAAGCCCATCCTTCAAGCACTTTCTTTGGAATGCAGGTCTGTTAAGGGTTGCCGTCGTACATGATGTAGTGGTGGTCACCTTCAGGATCCCTGTATGTTGAGATTTCATTCCGAGCGAGCTTTGTGGCTTTTTTATCTTCCAAGATTTCCTGCTCTCGAGCACATGTGGCATCATGTTCTTGATGCAGGTGGAATCGAATGGTTCCCGAGGATCCAGAAATTCTGCAGACTCGGTGGCGGCACGCGTCAATACCAATTCAGGGACATCAGATGACAGCAGCAACAGAGGCAAAAACGAGACACGCGATTTGGCTGCACTGTTGCCAGATGTCTTTGGGAAGATTGTTGGAGGACATCTTGCAGCGGGCACCAAGGTCTCGATGCGGCGCGAGCAATGAGAGGAGCAATGCACCGCGACTTGTCCTCGTCGTCTTCTTCGGACTTCGAGGCCGTTAGAGCAAAAATCTAACCTTTCAGCTTGCAGCTTGTCAAAGATGAAGAACTGACGATGCTGGGAGTGTTCTGTATGTCCAAGCAGATGTCCCTGAGAGGTTCGGTGATTGACGCTTCTCCGGCTTAAGTTGCTAGTTCAATGCAGTGAGGTGTTGCGGGGGTATTAGGCTCTTGGGCATCATCAGCAGCACCTAGGCTCCTAAGCTTTACGTTAAAATAGTCGAGAACCCTTACCTTAAGCCCGAAACCTCCTCAAAGCCGAGCCCTGAACCCTAAGCCACAAGCCTAAGCCCTTGCGCTGTTGGAAAAGAGGCACGTAAAAAGAACCCTAAACCCTAAACCCCCAAATCACAAGGCCGCTGGAGTGATGGGAAGGAAGATGGGAGAGTTGTCTTGCTTCATAAGACTGACAGCCTGGGTTTTTGGGGAAAAGGGGCCGAGCTTCGGCTTCGGGGGGGAGAGGGTTTGGGTTTTTCGGGGGATGGGGCCCAGGGTTGAGGGTTTTGGGGTTCCAGATACAGCCTTTGGTTTTCGGGTCAGGGTTTGGCGCTAAGGGCATCTTCCCAGACAGTGGCTCATCTGCGAACATGAGGCTCTTTATGGCTGGATTCAAAGCGTTCCTTCGATCTGTGAGCGCGGAAGGAAGCGGAAGGGTTGCTTAAGGTGGTTGCTCCGCAGCCACCTTGTAAGCGAGAGGCGAAACCGTCTGCCGAAGCGCTCCTGGAAGGGACAACATGCGGTGACCTAGAAACGTGCCAACGCGTCGAGACGCGGAAGGCTGCCGAAGCATTGGCAGAACCCGAAAGAATCCGCTCCAGATGGCGTCACCTCACACCAGGGCCACCAGGGTGTGTCGGTGGCGGCATGTCTTGCGTCGGCGGCTTTACTCGTGCATTGTGGCACTCGGCAGTTCTTTATGCCCACGCGCTGTGACCATACCTCAGGCAACCACCCAGTGTTGAAGTTTCAACAAATAGGTGACCCTAACATGGATTTACAAAGCACATCACTTCATGTTCGTCTGTTGACAGTCGTGACATGACAAGCTCAGCTTTTCATGCTGCACATCGATGTAGAATCCGAAGCTACGTGGTATGATCTATTGTCAATTGTGAATATTGTGATAGCGCATAGTAACATCACATGGTATTTCCTCAGCCCTAAATTCCGATTTGGGATTGCGCAGTTGTCCATTTCGCTACTGTCGCGCAACCCTGGGAGTTCTTCGACATTCCCGGCCTCGACTCGGACAGTGCTGGCAGCGAGCCAGCTGGGTCTCAGGCAGAGGCACGCTTGTGAATCAAGGGTTTGTAAGGTGTTGTCAGATTTTTGTAAGGTTTCACCGGGCTTTCTAGATTCTAGAGGTTAAGAGAGTTTTCTAGCTTTGTTCCTTGTCTATATATTCATCGTCATAGTAGCAGCACACAATCGTAGCAATAGTTGTCCGGCCTAGAAAGACCTGACATGTATTGGTGGCCCATGGTGACCCAGTGTGGGGTGTCATGTCTTCTGGTGGATTATTGTGCATGGGTTTTGGAGCGTTATTTCTGAGCAGGGGTGTTTTTCGCAGAGTGCACCGACACTAATCGTTGATGATTGGGTCATGGTGTAGAGTGTTTTCTTATGTGGTGCATTGCATCGTTACTTTTCCCGTTCAGGCGATTTCATACATCCAGCTGTCAAGCATTCTTGAACCATTGTCTTCCCTTTCTAGATAACAGTTTTTCTGTTCTGGCGTGTCGCTTCATGAAAGCTCTCTCAACCAAAGCCTGATGGTGGCAAGGAAATCAAGTCATTGTCGGTGCAGCATCGTGTAGAGAATTTGTTCAGGGTCATTGTGTAGTGACGTTTTCGGTTAATGGAAATCAACTTCACTGAAAACGACGACACTGATTGAATAATTGTGCAGTTGTCTTATGCGGATGGCACTTCTTTGTCTGTGTGTGTCCAACACATGCGGCACAGTCGCTGAGCACACAGTTTTAGGGCAGATGGCTGCGCAGAATTAAATTCAGTTGGAAAGTTCGAAGCAGCAATTCGGTGTCCATTCTGCGCAGTCTCTTGCTATCTTTGTCTGAACCTTAAACACTCAACAAGTAAAGCCTCCTTGGAAGGATTCTGCTGAGCCAGCGCAGAACAGTATGGCCGCCCACCTGAACGGCACTTGCAAGCCCTGCCGACGCTTGGCCTTTCGAGGGGTTCTTGTGGCAACACAAGAGTTACGCCGCAAGAAGCTAGGTACCTTAGCTTTCTACAAGGTATGGGATTTTCCAGAAGAGAACCTGATGGTTGCAAATGTTTTTGGTTTGTGACTGATCTGCGTCAGGCAGATGCTCATAGCACAGGACGTTGCGGTGCGATGCAGAGATGGCAGAAACGTACTTGTACCGTGTTGGAGAATATAGCAACACGCCACACACAAGATGCAACACGAGCCATGTGTACCCGCGTGTTTGCATAGCAGGGATGCGCTCACAAAAACTGGAAGTTGAAAGGACGCACACCTACATACATACATGCATACATACATACATACATACACACAGACACACACTGTTCATATGTCATGTGACACCTGACAGTGTACGATGTGGCTCGGTGCAACTGCAGCCTTCAAGTTGCACGACATGAAAACATGCGCTGCAAGATGCCGTAGCTCATCCAGTTTAACATACACGGCTTGACGCTGCGCTTCTTTGGCCTGAAAGGTTCGCTGCTCGACTGTCTGGCACGTGTCGTCATACTCTCACGTAATGGAATGTAGTATTTCAGCCAAGAGATTGTGAAGGTGTTAGTCACACAATGCCATTCACGATGCAGTCATGGGCCCTGCACGGCCACTGCTGGCCAAGGGGATAGAGTCGTTTCTAAGTAGATTTGCAAGTATGCAGCAGGGGAGGTGGGAAACGCATATCGCACGCTCACTGCTGACAACTACCATTGTCAATGGCAACTCCATACCCGCACTTGTGGCCAGCAATGGGTTATGTTATGTGCCATGAAAGTTTGGAGCTATTCCGATGTATGTACGCCTTTTTCCTTCCTGTTATGTCATTGCGTCGCTGCATATCGGGTGACACAGCGACGTCATAAAAGTGTCAGCTGTTTGTTCCAGTCTGGATAAAAATCGTGCTTCCGTGTATTCCCCATTCAGTTGTCCAGATCTTCTTCAACTCAGCATGTCTGCTTTGCACAGGATTTCACCAGCTCAAGGACACCGGTGTGAGCATTCTTTGGTTGACATATTGACTTCACCGTAAACCCTAAAACCCGCCCCCCAGCCTGAAAGCAGAGCCGCTTTAGGGATATGCATTGAAGGGTGTGCTTGCCACCCTTCGAAGGAAATTTACATATATGAACAGCTTGTTATGTGTAATGATATGACGTGCGGCTTACATATAGAAGATGTGGTATATAATATAATATAACAGAACATAACATAATATAATATAATATACTATAATATAGTATAACATAATATGATATAATATAATATACTATATATATATAGTGTTACATATATTTGTGTATTTATATATATATATAGAGAGATAGATATGTACATTACCTACATGAGTTCGTGGTATATGGCGCAGAGTGTACAACAAATCAATTTAGCTATACAGTATGTGGTGCTTAAGCCCTACCTAGTTTGAGGCATACAGATTACTTGAGGTATGTAGTATGTGTCCAGTTTGTTATTTAGTGTATGAAATACATAGCAGACAGTGTATGGCACACTGCTCACCCCTCACATAATATTTGGTATTTCATAAGTCATAACATATCCATCTGTACATACACATATAAATAAATAAATAAATATATATATATATATACACATACACATGCACATATATATATAGATACACACCCCATACCAGGACATATTTTGTACGTATTAAACCGTAGTATATCATATAATGACCACCTGCTATAAAACATGATATATGCATATGTATATATGTATGTATGTATGTATGTATGTATGTATGTATATATGTATATACATGTGCATATATACACGCACACATATGCACACTTCTCGCACGCATGCACACATCTACAAACATGTATCCATACATATGTATATATATATATGTATAAATATATCCAAAAATACATATGTTTTTTGAGATAACGGCAAACACCCCAACCGACTTCTTGACTCCATCGTGTTGCAAAACGCAGGAGGGAGGTTGCCGGCTGGGAGATTCATGCCGGTTTTGCCACCTTTGCTCGCACGAGCAGGTTTGTGGGTCAGACAGGGTTTTTCTCGTTCTTATGATGAACGTCTCGGGCGTTTCTAGGCATAGCAAAGTTCTATGTGTTCAATGACACGACAGTTTCTGTAAGACTCTATGTCCGTAGGCGTGTCAGAGTCTAGATTAGAAGTGGTGCAGGATTATGGGAACCCCCTCGGGCTTTCAGGGCTTTCGCCCCCAAACCCCTCTTGTCAGGCGAGAGCAGAGCGTTTGCGCATCAAGTACGAAGATCGCCGCGCCAAGCGGCGTCAAGGCTTGCGGAGGAGATGAAATGAGTTTTTGTGAGGCGTTTCCGGTGATTCCGAGAAATGCGAGTTCTTTCCACATGTTCGGCGCGACTGTCGCCACCCTTGCATGCCATCCAGTTGCTCGGGGCTGTTATGTCCTGCAGTGCGCTATGTACAAGACCGGCGGGAAGAAGGATTTCAAGTGAGAACAAGCACCGAGCAGCCGTGCATTTAGCGAAGATGGAGCTCTTTATCATCGGCCGAGACTTCCGGATGAGCACCAGAGAATGCCACGATTTTGTGTTTCTTTTGGGAGTCCGGTCAACAGAAAGCTGACGTCAGAAAAGCTGGTGTCCCGCTGGGCATTTTCCAGCCCACAGCTTCTGGCGCAGAAGACCTCCTGCCTGTGTCGACAGATACGCACAGATGGGCTTAGAGGTGGGATAAATGCTTGTATGTCGGCAGTAGTACGAAAGCTCTGAAAAAACTCTCTGAGTCCAGACACTGCACCGTTCAGAATCTTCGGGTTCCAGTCTCAGCCAGAGACTCTGCGATTTTGCTTTCGAAGGGCTCTCCCTAAGAGGATTTCGGCTTTCTATCAGTCGTTTCACACATCCGGTCATTCAAGCTAGTTCTTTGTTGGCTTGTCGGCTGCGTTTCGCATGAGGCTGAAGGACGGCTCGATGCGTTGCGGCCGCTTGCTGCTTCAGAGAAGGCTTTGAAGATTGACCCGGTGGCCAAAGCTGCTCACAGTTCGCAGACAGACAGAAGTCTTTCTCTCCTGGCTCCGGTCGCGAAGTTTGAAGCGGCATCTCGAGTCGGCTGGAGATGACATGGGTTCCAGTGCTGGCATTAGTTGCTACGACAGGCTTCTGCACGTGCGATCGTAGAGACAAGACTGGCGAGTCTCTAAACTTCACGTTGCAGAAATCATGGGACGCTGTGCCGGGCAGTGCTTGGCCAGCGTCCCGAAAAACCTGCCTCATGTGTGTCTGGGCTCTGGGTAAGGCCTTGAAGGAGATGGTTTTCTTGTTGTTTCAGTCGTGTTCAGATTAAACTACTTCTAGAAGCAAAAACAGGGGGTATGCCATTGCCTCCTAATTCGTCCTGTTGCAATTGTTTGTTGAAGGCTTGTGCCAAGTTTGATCCCTGTTAGGGACACGAGAAATCGGCTCTACAGTAATCGCTGTAGAATGTATGTGATATGTATTAGCGTCTGGGATCTGCAGTTGCAGGCCCGAAGCCGCAAAGCTCAGAATCTGCGTGTGAAGTTGTCCCTTGCAGTTCTGGTGGCATTTCAGTATCTTGCATGGACCTGTTGCCGCCTTCCTCTGCGTTTGAAGAAGCTGATCTTATGAGCTCTTCGCATGGGCTTCAGTACGAAGCTGGCCAGCTGTGCATCGCATTCGATTACAAGCATTTCGGTACAACACGTCGTTTAGTCGTGGATGGGTTGGAAAGGTCAAGGCCGTAATCGCGCATTGCTGGACCGTAATGCGCCTATGCCTGCCGTCAGTGCTGCGCGCGTGTCGAAAAAAGCCTACAGGATATGACACTGCCACATGTATCTGGACAGACTTGACGTGCTGCAGATGCTTGAGGTACCCATAAGGATGTGTGCTTGCTGGTTAGTCGGACACCCCAGGAGGCCCCGAATTTAGACCGGTCCCAAGATGGGCACTTCTGCAAGGTCGATGCGTTTCCAAAGCCTTCAAGGGCCAAAGAGTTTGGAGACGCTGCAAGAAATTGAGCACATCACAAGGCCGGCTGTTGGCGCCGCTCTTCATCCCATAGGCGCAAGCAGACTCGGGAGTGTGAGTATCAACAGCGCAAGCAGTAGAGGTGATTCGTAGCAGTAGGAGCAGTAGTGTTGGTAGTAGGGTCGCCGTGGGTTGAGCAGTTGTGGTAGCGGCAGTAGTAGCAGTAGCAGTA